TTAATATAGTTTATGTATTTAAATATTATATATATATATTATAGATTTTAATTATATATAATAAATATATATATATGTACATTAAATAGACTTAAAATACTAGTATACTAAATTTTGCATCATTTATATAAGAGATGATGTGAAAATAATTTGAAAAGTTATTTGATAGATAGATCATAATTATAACATTTTCCTATTATCAAATACTATAATTTTTAGTTTCCGTCTAGATGATGCCTTATATAAAAGTGTAGTCACATATTTAACCGATTTTACAAATAAAAGGAGAAGTAATAAATAAATTTTTATTTTGTTAATGATTAAGAATTTATTTAGATATAAGTTTAGAAGTCTTGTTAATTACAGTTTCTATACTAAAATATATTTTTTATTTTTAGTAAAAAAAACTCATAAAAAACTTATAATTTATATTTAAATAGATTTTAATATTTTTTATAAAAAAAATCTGACCACTTTTGAGAAAGTGTTTTTTGTCGATCACAATTTTTTATTTATTTATAAAGTTATATAAGTTCTTACGTTCAATACGTATAATTTAAAGAGTTAATCACATATACACTGCCAGTGTAAAGTTTTTTTACACTAGCAACCAATTATATTTTTTAATTATATCATATCATTATTAAAAGTAAATGTATTTACAGTGATATGACACAATTAAGAGATATAATTAGTTAATCGTGTAAAAAAAATTTACAGTGACAATGTATAAGTAATTAACTTTAACTTAAAATCGTTTTGAAAATATAGTAAAATGGTTTTGAAACTGTTGTTTTGAAAAATAAGATTTGAAAATGAAAAATTCAATATCACCTGAACCGGTGAATTATTCAATTTGGTAATATTGTATATCAAAATAATTTATAATATATGTTAATAAAAAAAATGATAGGGTCAATGTCAGGAATTAAATTGATTCTAATTAAATTTGTTTCATAAGAATAATCTCGACTGTGATTTTTAAGGATTGGAGAAATGATTTACTCAATAAAAATAAAAAATAAAATTAATAACACATTTTTTAAATGCATTTAATATTATTCACTAAAATCATTGATAGTTATGAAATCATGCAAGCCTTATTTTCTATGAATTTAAATATATTTCAATTATGAATTGTAACATAAATAAATAAATAAAACATTGACTTTTTTAAAAGTCACGTATAGAATGACGGTTTATTAATTGATATAGTAGATTTTAGTGCATCGAAATTAAAATCTAATAGAAAATTATTAATTTCTATAATAATAACTTTAAAAGTAATAATTCTGTAAAAAAAAAAAACTTTAAGCGTAATAATCACCATGTTTTCTAGTGGTTAATAACGTAAAATAAATTTTATTATCTTGCAATTCAACTGTTAAAATTTAATAAATTGACAATTTTTTTTTATTATCTTGCATTTTTGTGGCACTAAATTCAGAAGAAACTGCGTTTTTATAACATGTCTGAATACTGAATGTGAGATACTGATGTGTGATTAGTAAGAGTATTTTTTTAATTTTAAAATAAATAAATAAATAAGTAAATTGGGTGAGATTGCGCATTACGCAGTGTGTGTGTGTGACAGTAGAGTTGAATAAAAAGGGTTGAAAAGCCAATTTAAGGTTTGTTGATTGTTGGGTCAATTGAAGTCTAAGCGAAGAGATCAGAAAATGGCGTCCAAAGCTCCAAAGAAGGCGAATCTGTTAGATCACCACTCCATCAAGCACATCCTCGATGAGTCTGTCTCCGAGGTGACTAAAACCCTAACCCCTTTTCGATCTCTCCCACCTTCAAGCCCCTTTTTTTAATTTCGTTAATTGGTGGTGTAGGTCGTAACCACTCGCGGCTATGTGGAAGACGTCAGATTGAGCAATGTCAGGCTTTTCATTGGGGCCATTATCATCGTCATTGCTCTCTTCGCCCAGTTCTACAAGAAGAAGTTCCCTGAAAATAAGGATTTTCTCATTGCCTGCATCGCCTTATATCCTTTCATTACATTGTCCTTTCTTTGCTTGTTTCAATTTTGGTTTGCATGAGGTAATTGGATGTGGATACATCTACAATTAAGCCTATTTGGAAATGGAAACTGCTGTTTTGTTTTTTTGGGGGAAAAGGAGGGGAATTAGGGTTTAAGTTTTTTATAAGGGGATTAGGATGCATGAATTATTCGAGTGAATGTTATCAAGGTTTGTAGTTAAATGGATCTGGTGTTTGTGTGAAAAGGGAAAATGTTGCTGCTGATGTTTAAAATTTTTATTCATTCTGCTTCAGTGTTGTTTGATCCTTAATTCTTTCGCACGTACGTGATCTTCAATGGGCTGTTGCAGCTGATCATATACACTAAGGAGAAAAATGCCATTCTGTTTACTTATCCTCCTGTTGTAAGTTTCTTTTAAGTGTGCTGAGGCTCTTTACTCTAATGCTAGAGTTTTTATTTACGTATGGAGAATATATGCTGTGTTTCACTTGCATAATTGCATTGTTTTGGATGATTGATAGTTGAAGTTTATTCTACCACATTCCTTGGGTCAGTATTCGGTAAATTACAAAATATCAGTCCTATGGTGTTGGATTTGGAGATTGTAGAATATTGAAACACATATATATATGATCTATACATATTACTCACTACTTTGTGTAATGTTTAACATGATCTATTAGAATATGTGGTGATGTTTTATGACAGGTTTGTTTCAATTAATGAAGGTTGTAGATTTATTGGGTATATAGAATTTGACAATTTTTTCTTCATCTTTAGTTGTATATCAAAATTAGGAAAATTTTTAGACATTCTGTGGCTCCTTGTTCTGTGTACTGATTAATTTTTTGTTTCATCTAACCATTTTTAACTCACTTTCTGATATAGAGACATAACATTTAAGAAATGTATGATATCTATTTTGTGTTTGTGAAAGAGAGAGTTTTTGTGAGTGTGTGTGAGAGGGAGAGAGAGAGAGAGAGGAATATGCCATTTTATTATTGTTTAAATTGGCAATCCTTTTTGTTCTATCCTAAGAGAGCAATAGCACCGAAATTTTAGTCTGGTTAGTTTGTTATAATTGTGGCATGCGTGAACTTAAAATCCATCCAATAATTTTAACATAATTCATAGACACTAAGCAGACTCTAGTGTATAAAACGGGCCATACATCAAGCACAATTATCAATAGTGCAATATAACAGTGCGGTGCAGCCATGGCAGCTGCAATTGTGACCAAAATGGTGACCATCATAGTGGTAGGTAGAGTGAGGTTTTTCATAAACACTTCTTTTTGGGTGGGTTGGGGGAGCAGGGGGGTTAAAGGTGAAGTTGAGGTTGATGGATACATGAAATTAATATCAGTTTGGTATTTCGTCAATATTTATTTGATTTAGTAGTTTGTGAAATGGTTGCAGTAAATGAACTTTAACTTGTACTGGTATAGTTATATTCTATTCCCCTTTTCCTTCTGTTATTGAATTTCAATTTAAGTTGCATGAAAGTTGCGACAGGATAATTTTTCACATCTGTTCGGTTAAACAAGACTAACTTAGTACCTAGACTATGACACATCTTCATTTAGGTTGGAATGTAATCCAGATAGTACCTAAATCTTTGTTATTTTAACTTTTATACAGTATCATCTGGAATTTGAATTGATCCGAACATACTAAAATTCATTAGGTTTTAGTTGCTTTCAGTCTTAAATTGGATTTAATTCTTTTTTCACAAATGATTTAGAGGGGTTAAGCCGTGATATCTGGCTAGTTGGTTGCTTGGTTTATTATAGTTATTGGTTTTTCATGAACTAAGGGTATTGATATTTTATTTATTTATTAATGGAATATGTTATGTTTCATTCATCTAAATAAATTCAAGTTTTTCTCTGAAATCTGTTATCAAATCAAATAATGATATTTTATATTAGCCTTTCAGCAGAAACCCAAGACATAATAAAATTACGATTATCATATTCCAACTTAGACTTTCCCCCTTTTTTCTACAGGGATCCTTCACAAGCACTGGTTTGGTGGTTTCCTCCAAATTGCCTAGATTTTCTGACATGTACACACTCACTATAGCAAGTGCAGATCCAAAATCAATTTCTGCAAATGAACCCGTACATCTTACCAAAAGTGTTACCCAGTGGTATCTCTCTCTCCATTCTTTTACTTATGTATGCTAATACAATGACAATGGACATATGGATCAATATGCATTTGTCTCTTCCCGCTGCCTTTTGAAGATCTAAGTGCATCAGTCCGTTTTTGTTTGGGTTGCAGGTTCACTAAGGACGGAATCTTAGTTGAGGGCCTGTTCTGGAAGGATGTTGAAGCTTTGATAGTTCAATATACGAAAGAACCAAAGAAGAGCAAGTAATATGGAGACATGAACTTAGTTTTGCAGAGAACTTTTTTTGGTTGAAAACATATCTGGACATGGTTTATAATTCTATACTTAGACATTCAAAATAGAAGCCGGGGAATCAAGCTTTCACCAGCTTTAGGGCCCAATTTATTCCCATATTTCGTCGTTGAAAAAAAGGCTCGAAACTTTATTCTAACAAATGATGTGTTTAGTTTATTTTTTGCTTTGTCTTCTGTTAGTATGTTTTATCAATGATTATTATTACAAGTAGGTCACTATTTTACTTTAGAACGTTTTTAAGATATTTTTTAAAATATAAAAATATTTTATTTTTACAATTTACGTCACAACTTCATTTTTCATAATTAAGTTATATAGTTATAGCATATAAAAATATTTTTACTTATAATTTTTCTAAATGTTTAAAAGGTACAAAATGCAGCTATTGGAATATGGTGATACTACGAACGAAGAATATAATGCGGGATTTTACTCGTTTCACAGAGGCTCGTCAATATCAACTTTGAAATTACAACTGAAAAAGAAGGAATTATAATAATTTTTAAAAAATATCCTCTCAGATAATTAATTCACATAAGGTAAATAATTGATATTTTTATACATTAGTGTACATTTAAATCTAAAATTTATCAACCACACGATAAAAGATTTAGAGCAATTGACAATGACTCCCCTCTGATTGTGAAAATGAAACCCAACTACTCAACCCTTGAGTGCGAGAAAATGAAACTCAACTTGTCGCGTTTTACTAATCGAGTTAACAACGATTGTTAACATGTTTTGACGGAATATTCTACATTAGCCAAAATTAAATAATGTTATTGGGGAAAAAATATGATTCGTGACCATTCAGTAAACTACTATTGGAAAGAGGAAAATATTTTTCTTGGAGCATAAATGAGAAGATAGTTCGTAAAACACAGTTACTTCTGTGACACCATCACTTACAATGAGTTTAGTATGTAAGAAATTGATAGGAAAAATTTATTTAAAAAAAGGTGTTTAGTTATAAAGGAATAAAGCAAGGAAAATAAAATGATGTGAAACATGCAAACCTTTTTCTCACACCCTTTGTGGCAGAATTTTTTTTCCTAATGGTTCGAAATCTCCAGCTATTGCCTATTTATTGGGATCTTTTTTTTGGCATCTTAAACCCGCCGCAAATGTTGATTATTTTAAAAAGACATTGGCAGATTTTAAAAGCCATCTTGTAAGAATCGATTAAAAAAAGGACAATCAATTATAAATTGCCGGAACTCATAAAAATTACCTTTGAAAGAGCATATAATATACTTGGTAAGTTCGTTTCTCAACTGTGATGATAAAAATTTGATCAATTTTTTTATTGTATTTTCTATTTTTCTCATATATAATTTTTTCTCTATGCATGCCTTTATTATTATTTTTTAAATAGTAGGTAAGTTGGATTTATTAGACAAGTCTTAAATCTCAAAGAACACCTATAAGTAGGGAAACAGATATTTCGTATCTCTTCATTAAAAAAAAAATAATGAGTGATTAGTTAAAGATTGATAGATTTAAAGATTAAATATTGTTGAAATAGAAAAAAAAAAAATAAAAGATAATAAAAGATAAAGTAACTTGGATTTTAAAGGTAGTTATAGGAGTAAATAAGTTCAAAATTTGTATAAACCAAAATTTGTACTTTTATTTTATTTAATAAAAATGTTTAAGAATTAATAATGTTTGTTAAATGAACTAGTGTTTCATTTGCTTTTCAAACATCACGATCTTAAGTTTGAGTCTTATATTTATAAGAGTGGTTATTTTTTAATATTATTTTTTATTATTAGAAAATTTAAGGATAAGATCATCTAAATAAATGTGGACACCAAATCAAGTTATTGTCTTTATATATACTAGTAATGAAAAAGGCACTCCATGCCTCTATGAAAATAAATAATTTTTTTTTAAAAAGGTAGTTATTATTTTTAAACAAGTAGTTAAATTCACACATAAATAACCAAAGAAGGAACCTAAAATGGAGAACCAATCACCATCGGAGCCGCCGGATGGGGCACGCCGGGCGTATGAGACCTGGTGAGGTCTCTACCTCCTATCATGCCGGGCGCAATAGGAATTGCGTCGGGCGCGATGATCCCTGGTGCTCTCTGGTTGTGCCACGCCGAGCGCGACCATGATTGCACCAGGCGCGGATGAAATGATGACTTATGTGCTGAAATTTGCTGATAAATGTAGATATATGCTGAACTAAGCTGAAATTGATGAATATGTTGTGCTGTTAGATGTTACTGCTGAATTAGAATGTTTAAGTTGTGCTGTGAGTTGTGTTTAGATGTTAAGCTGAGTTGTGTTGTATGCTGATTTAAGCTGTTAATGATGAATGTTGTTGAGCTGTGAGATGTTTATGCTGTGTTATGATGTTAAGCTGTATTTGATGTATATTGTTGTGCTGTAAGTGTTTAGCTGTGCTGGATGCTGATATTGTTGTGCTGTGCTGAGTTGTATGTTGTATAGCTGCTAAGTCGGTGCTGTTATAGCCGCTAAGTCGGTGCTGTTATAGCCGCTAAGTCGGGATAAAATCGATCGTATAATCAATTTTGGTGAATTATGATGAAATGGATAAAACATAATATTTATGGTGGGCTATGATCATTTTTAATAAACTATGATGGAATGAATAAAACGAATCATTTTTCAAATATATTCAACAGATCCTAAAATGAATGAAAATAAGTTCAACACATTCTATTTATAAGACAAATGTTAGACTTTATCTAAAAGTCAATTAAAAATTTAAAAGTAACAAAATTTTATTAAAAAAATGAAGTTGAGTTTTCATTTATTATTCTCACTACAAAATTAACACTTTTACCTCATAACTTATAATTAAATGATAATATAAAATATAAAATACAGGTATAATATAAAAATATTGATATATTTAAATTAAATTCTTAAAAAATATCATCAATAAACCAAATATTATTTTCATAAAATTATATAAAGGGACTTTTGCTCTACAGCAACCTAAAACCTGAGCTAAAATCAAAAGAAAAAAAAAGGATAAATGGGTGCATTTGAAGGGCTTACTAGTTAGACAAATAAAAAAATAATTTAAAATGATTAATTTTGATCGAATTTGGTTAAAAGTTTTGGACCCATTAGTATTCAAACCTAATCGTTCAAGCATAATAATGTTCAAAATAATTATCATTCAAGTCCAAAAGTTAAGCTAATTATTTTGACTTAACTTAAATCCTTATTATTGATGCACCAAAAAAACTCTAATTGAGGGTATAGTTTGGAACTTCCTTTTTTTATACCATGTACCTAAAAAAACTTTATTGTAATATTTAAATTATTTGAAACTTGAATAATTTCATTCATTTTGAGTTTAAATGAAATAATATTTGAATGGCTGAATGTATAAAAAAGATACAGGAATTGAAAAGAAAAAGATAATAAATTTGTAACGACCCGACTGGTCCCTACACACAGCACAATACAACAGAAACACTACACAGAAAAGAGCAAGTATATACATATGGTGTCTAGAATATATATATATATATACAAGGTCCAAATCTGGATAGAGTCAGAGTGTACAAAATACATCCAGCAATGCTATACACGACAACTAAAAACAACAAAAATAATCAAACTCCATCTGCCAGCTGCAGATCCTCCTCAGCATACCAACCTAACCCTGCTCTGCTCCCATACATAGTATGATCATCATAGTCCAAACCATATGGAAACAACAAAGGGTAAGCTAGTGAAAGAATCAACATACATATATAAATATATGAATGGTAAACAGCTACAGCTATCAGCACATCAATCAGCTTAACAACATTAGCCCATAATATATCACAGCATTCAGCAATAACAACACCGCATAGCAGCAATAACAACACCGACTTAGCGGCTATAACAGCACCGACTTAGCGGCTATAACAGCACCGACTTAGCAGCTATACAACATACAACTCAGCACAGCACAACAATATCAGCATCCAGCACAGCTAAACACTTACAGCACAACAATATACATCAAATACAGCTTAACATCATAACACAGCATAAACATCTCACAGCTCAACAACATTCATCATTAACAGCTTAAATCAGCATACAACACAACTCAGCTTAACATCTAAACACAACTCACAGCACAACTTAAACATTCTAATTCAGCAGTAACATCTAACAGCACAACATATTCATCAATTTCAGCTTAGTTCAGCATATATCTACATTTATCAGCAAATTTCAGCACATAAGTCATCATTTCATCCGCGCCTGGTGCAATCATGGCTGTCCACTTTTACTACGGCGGGACGGCTCAAGGGACAAGTCTCTAGATCGCCCCTTTCGGTTCCAAGCAGCATGGGCCACCCACAGAGATTTTGAACGTCTTGTTAGGGATGCGTGGCGTCGTAGCACACCGACCCTTGCTAATGGGCTACAAGCCCTCTGGTTGTGCCACGCCGAGCGCGACCATGATTGCACCAGGCGCGGATGAAATGATGACTTATGTGCTGAAATTTGCTGATAAATGTAGATATATGCTGAACTAAGCTGAAATTGATGAATATGTTGTGCTGTTGTGCTGAAATTTGCTGATAAATGTAGATATATGCTGAACTAAGCTGAAATTGATGAATATGTTGTGCTGTTAGATGTTACTGCTGAATTAGAATGTTTAAGTTGTGCTGTGAGTTGTGTTTAGATGTTAAGCTGAGTTGTGTTGTATGCTGATTTAAGCTGTTAATGATGAATGTTGTTGAGCTGTGAGATGTTTATGCTGTGTTATGATGTTAAGCTGTATTTGATGTATATTGTTGTGCTGTAAGTGTTTAGCTGTGCTGGATGCTGATATTGTTGTGCTGTGCTGAGTTGTATGTTGTATAGCTGCTAAGTCGGTGCTGTTATAGCCGCTAAGTCGGTGCTGTTATAGCCGCTAAGTCGGATAAGATAGTCAAATGATATAATATGTTGTTTAATTTTTAATTAGTCTCATTATTTTTTTTTCACTTCTTTCACTCAAGTTTCTGAATCATATTTGATATAACATGTTATTTAATTTTTAATTAGTCTCATTATTTTTATTTTTTTTCACTTCTTCCCGTCAAGTCTCTAGATCTTGTTTGATATAGTATGTTATTTTATTTTTAATTAGTCTCATTATTTTTATTTTTTTCATGTCTTCCAGTCAAGTCTCTAGATCTTGTTTTATAGTCGCATGAGTTATGAGATAA